TCAGAAGCAAAAGTACTCGCTGTGTGGTGGCTGTTGCTCCAGGAGGACGCTTGGATCTCGCATTTCCAGCAACAGCCACCGCTGTTGGCACACACCGACTCTAATACAGGCTTCACACATTAGAGTCGTGCAGTGTTGGCCATTGTCTGGCACAATGGTGTGCTTGCTTGCTGTCTGAAGTAACGTCCCTTAGTGTCTCGCAATATAATAAAGCTCTTTGCTGACGATTGCAACTGTAAGCCCAGCCTGTGGCACTGTTAGTGAAACTTAAGTGTATTATGTTTTGTTCTGTCTTTTTTCCCCAAAATGTTTAGTAATCATCAGAAAGATTTAATTTTATTTTTAAGGGTTTCAGATTTCTTAAGTGTTTTTGCTTTGACTGTTTATACACTGGAACATATCTGCTGTACTTGGCGCAAAATACCTTGTGCCTGTAGATAACAAGCCTGCATTTAAAAATCAATTTCGAGTTATCTTAATGTTGTGAAAGACATGTCTTACGAATTTGGATGTTTCCTCTTAGATATAAATGAGTTCATGCTTGCAGATTCAAAATGTACAGATTTTTGTATGTGGTGTGGAACATAATACTACATTTGTTTACTGTTTGTGAAAAGCTTGGAGCAGATTCCCGGGAGTTTTAGTCACTGTTTAGCTTTCACAGCATGTTTCAGTGTCTATTTTTGGTCTATTTATTCTGTTTCCTTGCCGCATAAAGTCATGTAAAACATGATAAATTGGATCTTATGAAGCCTAATTAAATCAATGACTGTGTTCTGCTGGCTCTTTTATGCAGAAACCGCAAGTATGTTGTATAAGTCGCCACTCCCCTAATATGTGGATAAAGTCAAAGTATGCTGTAATTCTGAGATATTTGAGCCATATTCGTGCAGCCCATTTTGTGGTTAAGCCACCAGTGACATGTCTGAATAAGTAGCTTTGACAGGTAGGCTAACCACTCCTAAGAATTTTGGTGTTAAAACCCGTCTCCATTTTCCATTTTTCATCCATACTGTTTTTAGCACAGTTATTGACTGTTTGTCAGCATGAACTCTTCATCTGTTTTAGCTAAGTTTTTTTTTGTCTTTCACAGCTGCTACGTTGAAAAGCATTCAGAGTATCTACAAGAATTTGCTTTGTGTGTGTTGCAGGGTGACTCTGGGATTCAGTCAGTTAGTTTACACTGAGATACGGGATAATTGTTTTTGGCATGTGAAAATCAGTATGTTTATGTGAAAATAATGCAGAAGATACAAAGCTATAATCAGAGGTGTCTAGTTGCAGTTTTTAAACGAATCAGCCTAGTGATACTTCAGGGTTGAATTTGTTTCTTGTATTAGCTTATTGCTTCTCATTGGGACTGCATTTCGTGTCTGAAAGTCATCTTCAGCAAATTAACATGTTGGCTAGTATTGTTTATTTTAGCTTCACTTTTTAATAATGGGGATTCAGGGTGTTTCACACTTCATCAGGAAACTGTGCATTTTACCTATGGATGTAAATCATTTAAGTACATGCTTTGATTAATTATGTTATGGAGAAATGCTTTTCATGTACTTTCCTTGCTGGCCTTGTGTGTAGTTTATTCACTGTGAAATAAAAGGGCAGGGAGGTCACTTGCTGTAATTAAAGAACAAAGTCTATTGTTGTTTGACAGCAAACTGTTTTGAAAGCTACATAAGGGATTTAGCTGTTAAAAACATTGGTAAGTATGGGTGTCTAACAATAAGCACAGCTAAAGGTTCTTATAGTTCTGTAGGGTTGTCTAGTAGTGTGACGGTGCTTTTTGAGCTGGGTGAAGAGGTGTTGCCCTTTGGCCGAGGAAAGCTTTTCATATGAACCTGCTGACCTCTGCCAATATGTATGACCAGTGCCGCTATTGAATTCCTGTGCAAAGCAAGTTAGCGTAGCACAATGGAGGCTGGTCTAGAACATTTATAAAATAGAGTAGGGAAGCTGATCGCCTTACTCAGAACTACTGGAAAAATATTTCACTTTGGGCATTGGTAATTTTACAATTTTAATAACTTCATAAATACCCAGTAAAAAGGGAAGGATTGATTGTCCAGATGTCATGAGGTTAACCATGTTCTCCATGTTAAAGGGCTTTCCTGCAAGACTGTTTTAATTACAGCTATATAAAGACTTGTTTTTCCAAAGTAGCATTTTATAGTCCAATAAATGAAATGTATGTTAAAAGTGCTAAGCAAAATGCCCCGTAACCATAGAGGTGTTCAATAACGAGATTCAAGTAAGATGGAAAGTCCCATCTGTTCCTAGTTTTCAGCATAGCTGAGATTTGCTCTTTTTTTTTCTCTATATTTTTATTATTATTATTTAAAAAGTTCACCTGGCACTTTATAGAAGCTTTCTGAAATGCAGTCATACAGGAGAGACTGTGAAAACACATGTTCTACATACAGTTAACCAGTTCCACTTTCATTTAAAGAGATTTCCAGAAGTTCAGTCATTGAAGAATTTATAATAGTGAATCACCTCCTGCAGGCCAACACAATAAGGGTCAGTTCTTCAAAGGTCTTGCTATTTAGGTAGAACCTGAATTACTCTGTCAATTTTTCCCTACGAGGTAAAGGGAGGGGGGGGGAGGAGGGAGAGGGGTAGAAGAAGCCTTTCAAAGGATAACTTTAGCAAGCTCTTATCAGTCACCTAATTGCATATGATAAAACCATTGACTAAAATTTTCCATGCACAGACTTTTCTGCTCTTCAGAGAAGTGTTCTAGAATTGTTGATATGGGAAAAATTACTCTTTTAAAGATAACTTAAGTTCTGAACTATTAGGCAATGAGATTCTTGGCTGCAGCCCTGGATAAAACGCCATCCGGCCTTTGTCTGAGGTCTTTTACTGAAGCTAATGACTGGTCTTGTGCCGCCCTGAGATAAATGACATTATCTCTGAGTGGTCTGACAGGAAACAGACATGTTAATGGTGAAGCTGCGGGGAGGATCTGCTGTAGCTCTGACAAAAGAGTAAAGCGTGGACCCCTGGTTGTGATCATTAACACATAATGCATTCCAGCTTCTCCTACCAGGGCCTTAATAATAGGAAAGCTATTTTATTGACAGCAACGTAAATCATAAATCTGAAATGGGCACTTTTTCTTGTATGCTGAAACCTTTATTCTTTTTCTTTTCTCCCCCCACCCCCGAAATGAGTGATCTTTATAATACTGACTTTTTGTGGGAGATTCTGTGGCCTGCTTTTTGTTAATTGGACACATCCTTTCCTATCCTTTCCATGTTGAATGCAGGTTCCCCTTTATTTGCTCTGTATTATCCACACAATTTGTGTCTGTAAAAGTAGGCCGAAAGAGTAAAAAAAAAAAATAAAATCAATTTCCTCAAAATCTTACATGGTGTTATTGGTACATGTGGTATTGAGCACATTTTTACAAGCATTCACAGGAATACGGTCTCAGAAATACTAGCAAAGACCACCTTTATATCTCTTTTGGATAAAACCACATACATTTTGGGTTCCCATCACCCACCCTTGAAAAAAGGTTAGATTATGTCCGTAGCTGCTTTGACAGCTTTGTGTTGCTGCCACGTGTTAGTATTCTTGAATACGTCAGCTGCATGTACCAGATCTGTTCCATGGTACCCAGTTGAGATTGCTGGATATAACCAAATTTTATAGTCATGCCTTGCTCTGAACTAAGATGCTTTGTACAGATGATCCAACAACCAGGTTATTCTTTATGTAATACTCTTAGCACTGTACCAGGTTTATACTGTACTTACATAATGCTCTAATATATGTGGCGATAATGCCACTGCTTATCCTGAAAGACTGGAGAGGCTGCCTGACCTCAACTGTGCTTTATTTCTTACAACTGAAATACATGAGTCCCCAGATGGGGTCACACCTGTGTATCTGTGGATGCAGTGACCTCAGTTGAAGGGCTGGCCATAGTTTTGCTGAAAACTAATGTTTGTTTTAGTATGTTTAAGTATCAAAGAGTTATTTTTATTTCTTAGTAATAATTGAAGAAAATGTGTTGACATTTTTTCAAAATTTTGGTCTGTACACAACATTCCTTGTCAGGTGAAGGACAGCAAAATAGTGTTCCGTGAAAATTTCAAAATGATGATGTAATTACAAAGGGTAAATAGCTTTTAAAATTTAGAAAAGTTTGTTATATTTGTTTTTTCCTTTTGAGTTTGATGATTTTTTTTTCCCCCATTTTGCACCAGAGAGTTTTTGCCCAGTTTGGCTCTTCCGTGGTGCAGCATTTCAGCAAAATGAATAATAATAATACAAGCTATGATTTTTTAATTTGCTTAAAAATCTGTTTGAAATAAACTAATTTTAATAAAGATAATTATAATTTTTCATAGGAGGACTTGAGGGGTTTTCTTAAAATGAGATTTTAAATCGCAAGATTTAAAAAAAAATCATTATTACATATTTGAATTAAAACCACTATTTACTGCAGGCTATGAGCAGCCATTTGGGCAAATATGAAGATCAGATTGACTTTTGGTTGTGCTGTAGCCAGGGTTTCAATAAGCACTCTATTGCATTTTCTCTTTCAATTCTGACTAAATGGTCTTGGCAGTTGGAACAAAGCCTTTACATTTGAATGAAAGGTTGTAAACCTATTCAGAGTGACCTGACTGACAAGCAAGTTCTTTGTATTTTTTTTTCTCCCTTTTTTGAAAGAGCTGAGAGAAAATTCAGGGGGGTGGGAATAG